TTATGAGTGGGGCTGCTAACTGCAAGGTCAGCAGGTGGAAACTACCAATCGCTTCTCAGGAGAAAGAGGGGCTTTCTTTTCTCTGTTCAAGTTTAATACAACTACAAAAGATCAACAGACTCGAGCCCCAATCCTAGTGCACAATACCCAGCAGCTGCCCTGTCCAAAACAGCTCAGCTCACTTTCACAACGGTGAAGAAAGACTGGCCTCTCCAACCATGCAAAAAAGCCTAGCATATTATCAAATACCATGCTCTCCGTAGTCTAAGGCCCTGTGTTTTAAACAGGAAGAAGAATACAAAAGAGGTTTATTTGTTTTGAAAGATGTTTTGAAGGATGAGTTGCAATCTCAGAAACCCACGGGGACAGTTTTTCCCTGTCCCATAGGGTCACCATGAGTCACCTGGACTAGATGGCAGTGATTAGTGATAGTACAAGCGGAGTAGCAATGCAGCATGTCAGGCATTTCGAATCTTACAGTGACAAGGAAAATGTCCGGACAAATGGGTTATTTTTAAAATTATTAAAATACACTGTGGAAGAGTGGTTACTGGAGAGAGGGAAAGTTTCCAGAAAGGACTCATGGTAGAGATCTCTGGCTTGTTTTTAAATATTAACATGAGTTCCCAGGCAGAAAAATCAGGGAAGAGAGAACTTCAGGTGGCGCTGATCAAAAATGCAAAGCCAAAAGGAAGAAAGAGAAAAATAAACAAGCACACAAACAAAAAACAGTGATATTGCAGAAACAACAAGCTTCAGAGGTGGTTAAAGAGAGATGAAGCTGGACAGAGCACAGGTACCAGATACAAGTGATGGAAAGTTTAAACGGTTCTCCTCTCTTTAACAACTAAGTATTGAACAATCAATATGATAGGAAGGAGCTGTGGTATCCCACTGGTTAGAGTGCTCCCATGCTACCGGGAAACGCCAGGATTTGGAACCACTAGACCCAGTGCAGGAGAAAAGACCTGGTGGTCCATCTCCTGTGGAGTTACAGTACAGCTGTCGTGTCCAAGACTACTCTGTCACACGGGGGCCCGAGGAGTCAAAGTCCACTCGAGAGCACACAGTAATATGCTCAGTGTTGAGATAAAAATGAGTTGAAATTGACTACGGAGGAGATCCAATTCATATTTGAGGAGCAGAAAGCCTCATCTTTCTCCCGCAAAGCGGCTGGAGGTTCCAAACAGCTGACTTGGCAGTTAGCAGAGGAACATGTAACCCCAGGCTCCTAGAAGCCCTGGAGGGTTAGTAAACTAAATAATTAACCATGGAAGAAAAACAGGCTGCAGCTCTGTCTTTGGACAGGAATCCACTGAGCCAAAAAGAAACGGTTCCTGATATGACCGGGAGCTCAGGGTCAGAAATAGTTGCAGAGGATGAAGATTTGTACCGATGATAAAAATTCATCGCGACTTTATGAAGTGTTCTGATGGGTTTCCGAAACGGCAACTTCTTACAGGAGGAGAAAGCCTCATTCTCCGGCAAAGCGGCTTTGACTTCGAACTGCGGCCCTCATGGTTAACAGCGCGACACGGAACCCACTCCACCACCAGGGCTCCGGAACCGGCTGGATGGCAGCGAGTTCGGTTGTTTGCGGGGGTTTTGTTGTTGTTTACTTATGAAAACGGAAGGCTGGGTACGTGCAACCCTAGAGGATGTGTCCGGGAAAGCAAACCAGCAGACATCGGCGAGCCGGTTGCACGGACGCACGTACATTTGCAAAATAACACGCCGCCTTGACCTTCCTTTCTACCAGCGTGCAGACCTAGGCCTACCTCTATTTAAGCACAGACCGCCTTACATTTTCAGTCCCTCAGTGAGCCCACCCAAGGAAAACACCCAACCCTGACCCCCACGGGTAACAAGGCGGGGCCGAGTCTGCGCAATGCAAATCCGAAGCCGCGCCCAGAGGCGGCGGCACGTTGCACGGGGACCGGGTTCCGGCGCCCAGGCCTGAACCATTCCAGCGGCGCGCGGTCGCGGGGTCCGCTCGC